CGAGTGCCTCGCGGGCGGCGGCTGCAGAAGCGCACAGGCGGCAGCGGCGCACGGGCAGCGGCGGCGCACTGGCAGCGGGAGCGTAGGGGCAGCGGCGGCGCACGAGCAGCGGCGGCGCTCGGGAGGCAGCGGTGCGCAAGCAGCAGCGGAAGCAGCGGCGTACGAGCGGCTGCGGGCAGCAGGGCGTGCGCGAGCAGGCGACGGGCAGCTGCGGGGCGTGCGCGAGCAGGCGACGGGCGGCTGCGGGGCGTGCGTGAGTAGGCGACGGGGCCGCGGGGCCGCGAAGTGGGGCGCGAGCGGTGCGCGGGCAGTGCGCGGGCGGTGCGCAGGCGGTGCGCAGGTTGCGTGGGCTTAGCGCGGGCTGCGTAAGCGGTGCACGGGGCGGCAGCGGGCCTGAAGGGGCGATCGCGGGGCCGACTAGGTCGCTAAGGGGCGAGCGGCGGGTCGATCGCGGGGCCGACGGGGCCGTACGAGGCGGTGCGCGGGGCCGTAAGGGGCGGTGCGCGGGGCCGTAAGGGGCGGTGCGCGGGGCCGTAAGGGGCGAGCGCGGGGCCGTAGCAAGGCCTTAAGGGGCGGCGCGGCGGGGCCGTAAGGGTCAAACGCGGGGCCGACGGGGCTTAAGGGGCGGCGCGACGGGGCCTTAAGGGGCGGGTCGCGGGTCGCTAGTGCTTAGGGGCCGAAAAAAAAGTCGAGGCGCCCTAGGTAGGTAGGTAGGTAGGGAGTTAGGTAGCGGTGGGCCCTTAAAAAAAACGGTCCTAGCGAAGGACCTGCTCTGAAACCATGTCGGAACAACAGACTGGAATGATGAACTAGAAAGGATTGTGAGTACAAATATGAAACCCTAATGTTGTGACCCCCCTACAGGCTAACCCACTACAGCCTACACAAATATAACATATACAATGTTTGACAGTTTTTGCTGCGCCGGAGGCACACTGAAGGGGCAGGAGAAACAGTGGGAGAAACAGAAGTAGCAGTAGCAGGAGCAGCAGGAGTGGGAGAAGCAAATGGACGAGGAGAAATCGAAGGTAGGGATTTGGAGGAGAAAGGTGTCTCGCCATGCCTTTGAGTCATTTCAGAAGGCTACGGCACTGGGAGGCGCATTTGAGTCTCTTCGAATGAATACAGCAATAAAAATTCCACACCAAAACAGGACTGTTTTCATGTACATGAACAGAGTCCCATAACCATCCGCAATGCTATTTCTCTTTTTCTCTTTGCCCTCCTTGTCCCTCCCATCCCCTCCCTCAATTTCCCAATTCAAGTCCCACTTCTCTGTTCACCTCTTATAACCCTCCCTCATCCATTACCCTCCCAACACGCACGTAACTTTCTTCCTGCGACAGCATTCCAGGCAGATGGAATAGACCTAGAAGCAGCAGCAGCAGCGGCAGCGGCAGCGGCAGCAGAAGCAGGAGCTCCACATGGGAACAACAACAACCCAATGACATCAAGGGAACCAGAGGGAGATAAACCATATCTGTGCGAGGAGTTTACTCTAGAAGAAGTGAGATACGCAACAGCAGATTGGGCAGAGGAGAACAGGATTGGCAGCGGGAGCTTTGGAGACGTATATGCGGGCGCTCCCAAGCTCTGTACTTGTTGGGCTGTGAAGCGTGCCCCAGTTCACTCCAAAGGCTTCAAGAGGAAGGCAAGTTACTGACGCACTTGCAATCTTAACTGCTGTTTTACATGTGGAATTCGTTACTTTGCATCTAAATTCTCTTGCCTCCTTCCTCTTGATATCATACTCTTTGCTCCTCTCTCATTCCTCAAATGAAGGATATGGCCAGCAAGCACATAAGGACACATGCGTGTACGCACACATGCACACACGCACGCGCACGCGCACACACACCCACGCACGCACGCACACGCGCGCGTACACACACGTACATGTTTTTTCTGCCCTCTCTTACTTCCTTCTTTCCCCTCTCCCATTCCACAGGGGAAGGAGATGGCGAGAAAGCACATACATGCACACGGACACACAGTTGATCTCTGCCCTCTCATCCCAACCCCACCACTCGCTTTTGTCTCTTTCTTCTGCTTTCCCCTCCCCCATTCCACAGGTGAAGGAGATGGCCAGCAAACACCACCCCAACCTGGTGCCCCTCGTGGGCTATTGTGCGGAACACTACTACGGTACAAGCCACTTGGAACAAATACTCGTGTATAAGTACATGGCAAATCGAGACCTGGCGAGCTGGATTGAACCAGGTAATTTGACTTTCCTTTGAACTTTATGGTCTTCTTTCTTTCTTCATTTCTTTCTTTCTTTCTTTCTTTCTTCTTTCTTTCTTTCTTTCTTTCTTTCTTTCTTTCTTTCTTTCTTTCTTTTTTCTTTATTTCTTTCTTTCTTCCTTCCTTCCTTCCTTCCTTCCTTCCTTCCTTCCTTCCTTCCTTCCTTCCTTCCTTCCTTCCTTCCTTCCTTCCTTCCTTCCTTCCTTCCTTCCTTCCTTCCTTCCTTCCTTCCTTCCTTCCTTCCTTCCTTCCTTCCTTTCATTCGCCAAGTCGGTGTGTAGGAGGTCATGAAGAACCAGGACCTGGAGAGCTGGATCAGACCTGGTAACTTCAATGAACCCATCTACAGTGCTTGGTCTTTCAAAAAACCGTAGTAGGATGCTCTATGTCCATCCAGTATAGCTGCAATTGTCATACATAGCTTACAGAATTACCTTGGTCACTCTGCTCATGAATGTTTCATTTGTGTGGAGTTATTGCTTGCTAATCTCGTTCCACACTTTCATAAATAGTTGCTTCTCATTCCCATTGCCAACCCCACCATGTAGCTTCTATTATTCTAATCATGCCTACACCCTTTTAATTGTCATTATGACATGGCCTTTCTGACATGGCATTCCGATATGGCCTTCCACTTTCACACATTCCAGGTTCTGCACGTCCGCTGACCTTGTTCGAACGCCTCGACATTCTCATAGGAGTTGCCAAGGGGTTGCAATACCTGCACAGCCTTGGCATAATGCATTGTAACATCAAACCCACTAATATCCTCCTCGATGAGAAAATGCAGGCAAGCTTCCATCCTTGCAACACGTTGATGAAATACATTTGAACTGTACTTTACTTATCATTCAACATTTCTTCCTATCGTGACCAGATGTCTCTTCGTATCTGTCAAGGCACCCTCGTATCTGTCATCTTGCCAACAACACTCATTCATCCCATTGTTCTTGTTGACCAGGCTAAAATTGCCGATATTGGACTTATGGAGCTCATTGAAAGAGCTACAACGCCTGCCGCCAGAGTGATGGGAACACCGGGCTATGTGGACCCTGCATGCTTCGAATCACAGAAGCCTACTATAGCAACAGACATCTATAGGTGGTTTGACGTACCCAGTTGCTGCTTTCTTTACTTTCTGTTTTGAAAGCCAAAATGCCAGTTGTCTCTGTTCTTAACCGCAATGCAGCATTCTATCATATCTCCTGGGAAACTCCTTTTTTGCTTACCTTCCCACTTGTTCCATTTGTTGATTTGGTGTTGGCAGCTTTGGCATGGTAATGCTAGTTATCATCTCAGCACGCACAGCCATGCATGTGAGCAAGACCGGGGAAACCAGCCTGAAGCAATGGGTGAGCTTTGCTCATGCATTACATGTGCGCACATTAAACATTGTCGCACTAATTGCGTGCATGAAGATTGCTCTGAAACAGTGTCAGTAGCACCTTGAATGTAAATGCATATGTCAATTTGTGTTGCATGCGCTTATTTCCTTGAACCCAACAGGCAGCCCATATTCTGGATTCAAACGCAGGGCCAGTGTTCAAGGACCCTCACCTGGACGCACCAGATGACTTGGTGCTGCGCTGGGCTCGCCTTGCCCTCTCCTGCACCGCCATGCCTGCAGCCTCCCGCCCCTCCTTGGGTCAAGTGCTGGAGGAGCTGGTGAAGCTGAAGCAAGCGGCGTTCGGAGACCATGTGAGGAATGCTATATCTCAAATGGGCATGGAGAATGTGAGTTTTGCTGGCAGCTCCTCCGGGATTCACTCCTGAACTTGCCTGTGCAGAGCACGTGTAATTGGATAATGGCTCTTTGAAAAGAATTTCCTTGTCTTTGGAGTTTGAGGGATTGCCGAGAAGCATTGTGAACATACTATATCAACGTCTTTATGGAGCATGTGCTATTATTGTGCATTTTGAAGATGCCTTTTTTTATTGTCCATGTGTGACTAATACGGAAATGTATGGCTGGCGAGTGCTTTTTTCTATCTTGGTATGTCTCCACTGCTTATTTTGGGAAACTCTGGTAAGCACTCAGAAAGAGTACATGATATTTTACTTGGGAGGGAGTAAACGGGACGAAGAAAAAGGGGAGGGGGGAGCGGGGGGTACCATGCACTAGGTATATGTTCGACTGATCTGGACTCTGCACTGGGTTATATTAGCCACTAGTTATAAGCGTACCATTACAGCCCATTTGTTTAATCTCTGCACCAAGTACATGCAAGTCCCTTCTGAGAGTTCACACAAGGGTTCCAACACCTGCAAGTCATTGGTTTAGGGGATGCTCGAAAACACCAGATACCAGTGCTTTCACACACTTTTCCATGAAATGACAGTGAATTCATGATTTAGACTTTCCATTTTGTAAATACCATTAAGTGATTCTCAGTGTACAACTTTTGAGTGGCTCTATTTTTCAGCATGCCCAGCTCTAGCTCAATACTGTTTTCAAGTCCACGAACAATTTATTAGTGCAAGTAAGCTTTCCAGGATAAGGAGCTAGAATCTTGCCATTTTCCACATACAGTACTCCCCAACCCCCCCTCCCTCCTTCCAATTTCCAATTTTCTCCGAGTCTTTTTGGGGAGAGCTTTATTCATCTAAGCGTTTGCCAAAGTACCCCCACCTAAGGGGAGGCCGCATCCAAACCTAAGAAAAAAGAAACCTGCATCTGTATTCCATTGACCCAAGGGCAATCAGCACTAAACACACTGTGAATAATACCGTAGTGCTGCTTAGAAAACCTTGAAACTCTAAGACAAGGAACCACTAGTCAAGGAGCCACTTTGCAGTCCCATGTGCTCCGCACGGGCCAGTTCAGCAGTGAAGCCGGATGAGCTGCCAACAGAAGAACCGCCACTCTCAATGTCCATGCGAGATATTGCCTTGCTCACATGCACTCCGAACGCCTCCTGCTTCAACTTCACCAGCTCCCCCAGCACTTGATTCATGGAGGGGCGGGAGGCTGCAGGCATGGCGGTGCAGGAGAGGGCAAGGCGAGCCCAGCGCAGCACCAAGTCATCTGGTGCGTCCAGGTAGGGATCCTTGAACACTGGGCCAGCGTTTGAATCCAGGATATTGGCGACCTGTGGGGTTGGAAAGGGAATGCAAGGCATTTGAGTCGAATTGAATGCTGTCTGGTGCATCCAAGTGAGGGTCCTTGAACACAGGCCCTGCGTTTGAGTCCAAGATATGGGCAACCTGTTGGGTCAAAAGGGAATGCAGGTAGTTTGATGTGGAATATGATACACGATTGAATAGCGTGTTACTGTGCAATTTGACCAGCCATGCATTGGAGTTTCGTGGTTGTGCAAAGTCTGTGGAAAGGATCTAATGTGCACCTTTATAACGATAGAAACTCACCCACTGCTTGAGGCTGGTTTCGCCGGTCTCGCTCACATGCACTGCCTTGCGTGCCGATATCACCACCAGCATCACCACACCGAAGCTGCCAACACCAGTTTGTCAAAAGAAACAAGGGTTGTGGAGAAAAGAGTGGCAAGACAGTGTTTCAAATGTGGAATTCTCACTTTGGATCCGCCTCAGAAGTTGGAAATTGCAAAGGTGGGCATAGTTGTGTTCGGATGCACAAACAACAAAGGCTGCATTTTCCAACTCACCTATGCATGTCTCCTGCTGTGGTGGGATTTTGTGACTCGAAGTAAGCTGGGTACACATGGCCCGGTGTTCCCATCACTCGAGTGGCAGCCGTAGCAGTTCCCCCAGTAAGCTTCAGAAGACCAAAGTCAGCAATCTTGGCCTGGTCAACAATAACAAGGGCACAAAAGAGTATTTCCGCAACATGATAACTGCGGAGATAACTACTACAACGGGAGCTAGGCTGCGGGCTAGGCACGGGTGCTCGTGTGATCTCTGCGTTCCTCGGTCCTTAGTCGTTTTCCTAGTGCACACACTGCTTGCAAGTTCACAAGGCAATTTGGCAAGAGTTTCACTAGATACAATGAAGTTGGCAAGGCAAGACTACATCAGAGCTAGCATGCAAGCAAGTCTATTGCCAGCGCAGCACGGTCGACCGCGTGCCAGCACGACTTGGTCGACCGCGCTCCAGCAGTGCAGAGACGCGGCTTGCCAACGCTGCAGGTCGACGGCGTGACAACAGCGCAAGTCGATGGCGTGCCAGCGTTGCTCCCGCAGGACAGCAGCGCACCTACTTCGCAGGTGCTCGCAGATGATTGGCGTGCAGTGCCTCGTCACCTGCACAGCGCACACACCACATCAACTTCGTGCTGACGACTGCTTCTGATGCACCACGTCGACCTCGGGATACCATCACCGAGGTCGTCCTCGCCAAAACCACCTGGGCGACCTTCGCAAGCCTTCGCAGCACCTCGTCACCCAGGTAACTTGGTCGACCGGGCAACCAGGTCGACCAGAGGCTCCAGTGCGTGCCCGTCGACCACCCAGGTCGACGACCACTTCCGGTCGACCTCCCAAGGTCGACCACTGCCTCTGGTACGTGCCGGTCGACCTCCCAAGTCGACGGCCACCTCCAGTCGACCTCCCCAGGTCGACCACTATCCCCTGGTCGACCAGCTCCAAGTCGACGTCACTCCTGGTCGACCAGAGGGGCTGGTAGACTTCCCAGGTCGACCAGAAGGGCTGGTCGACTTCCCAGGTCGACCAGCCAAAGGTGGCGCCCTCCCGAAGTCGGCGCCCATGCAATGGCTCCCGTGCAGGTCGACCAACCTCGTCGACCAGCCCGCCCACTGCTGCAGGTCGGCTGCACCCCTACATCCGACCACGAAGTCGGCTCCGCCCAAGCGAGGACGGGGCCAACACCCAACTCCCGTTGACACTCCCCTGCCGCGTTCACGCTTGGGCCTCCAGCCCCTACGGCAGCACTGCTCGGAGAACAGCTCGTCGACGTGCACCCAACACACAGCACGTCGTCCACCGCACCAGCCATGCAAAAGGGCATGGCACCTACTGCTGCACGTTGTCGTCGCCGTCGCCCACGTCGGCCAGACGCACTTGGCCGATTGCAACGGAGCACCGGTTGAAGGCCGGATAGTGCAGCGCCTTCGTGAGGAAGTCGGCCGGCTGCTCAGCGGTCGGGATGTACTGCAGCGCAAACTTCCCCCGCTTCACCATGTGCTGCAGCCAGGCCTGTCGCCGCTCCATGTGCTTGAGGTTGCCCGTCAACCCCATGCCCTCGGCGACTGTGATGGCCGACTTGTTGTCCACCCGAAGGACGGTCGGCTTCCCAGCATCCAGCTGCTGGAACTCTGCGAGGAGGAAGCGAAGTCGGCGTCCCTCCTTGCCGGCTTCGACGGCCGCCACGTACTCCGACTCGGTCGATGACAGTGTCGCGCACTTGATGCGCTGGCTCGACCAGAAGACCGCGGCCCCTCCGTAGACGAACACGTAGCCGCCCGTGCTCGTCCTGCTCTGCTTGTCACCGGCGTCGTCGGCGTCCACGTAGCCGACCAGCTCCAGCGACTCAGGTCCACCGCCAAACTCCAGGGCGGTGTCGCGCGTGTTGGTGAGGTAGGCGAGGCAGCGGTCGACCTCGCGCCAGTGCTGGTCGCTCCTCACCGTGAGGCCACTCCCCAGCTTGCTGCAGGCGAAGGCGATGTCCGGCCTCGTCGTTGTCGCCGCGAACTGCAGCGAGCCGACCTTCTGCCGGTATTCCTCCTCCTGTCGCTCCTGTGCCTCCTCGTCGTCGAAGGTGAGCTCGGCGTAGGCGTCGACCGAGACAGGCGTCTTCGGAGTCCGTCTGCCCTGCTCCTCGTCGATGAAGCGCCTACGCAGCTTGTCGGCGTAGCCCTGCTGGTGCAGCCACAGCTTCCCTGCCGACCTGTCGCGCACGATCTCCAGCCCGAGGTACTTCTGCACCGGCGAGATCTCGCGCAGCTCGAAGGCGGCCTCCAGTAGCTCCTTCAGCTGCTTCAGCATCTCGGGGCTGCTGCTGGCGGTGAGCAGGTCGTCGACGTAGACCAGCACCCAGCAAGTCGCTCCGTCGTCGCCGACCTTGAAGTAGAGGGCCTCGTCGACCTGGCTCTTCTTCCACCCAGCGCCGACCAGCACGTCGTTGAGCGCCAAGTACCACAGCAGCGGCGACTGCTTTAGCCCGTACAGGCTCTTCAGCAGCTTGCACACCCAGCCGGTTCCGTCGTCGAAGTAGTCCGGCTGCGACATGTACAGCACCTGGTCGAGCTTGCTCTGCAGGAAAGCGTTCTTCATGTCGAGCTGCATCAGGTTGAGGTTGAGCACGGCGACGATGCTGAGGAAGATCCTCAGCGTCACGTAGCTGCCCACCGGCGCGAACGTCTCGTCGTAGTCGGCGCCGTACACCTGCGTGAAGCCCTTCACGACCAGCCTCGCCTTCTCCCGCTCGACGGTGTCGTCGATGTTGTACTTCGTCGTCAGCACCCACCGGTTCTTCATGACATTCACTCCCGGCGGGCGTTCGCCTAGCTCCCACGTGCCCATGGCGAGGAGACTGCGGATCTCTTCCTCCATGGCGGCCTTCACCGCCGGACCCTTCCAGCTCGCTAGCGCCTCCTTCACCGTCATCGTCGAGATGTCCCAGCGGTGCTCGGGGTCGGCCAGCATGTCGGGGTCGAGCTCCGGAAACTCCTCGTCCTCATCAGCGTCGTCGTACAGCAGGTCGCCGGCGTCCTCCACGTCGTACACTGTGGTGAAGGCAGCGGGAATGAAGAAGTCAGGCGGCCTTCGAAGTCGACCAGTCTTCCGGGGTTCAGGCGGAACCCCCACCTCGTCATGGTCGGTGGACTGGTCGGCCACCTCCTGGTCGACCAGCTCCTCATCGCCCAACTGCTCCCCTTCATCTGCACCGCCATCCTCGTCGTCCTGCTGCACTTCGGTCGGCGTCCCGACCGACTTCTCCCCTGCGGTCAGCTCCCCTGCCGACTGCCAGGTCGCCGACTGCTCCTTGGTCGGCCTCGCTGCTGCCTGCTCCCCTGTCGGCTTCACCCAAGTCGGCTGCACCTCCTCGGCCTGCTTCCCCCCTATCCAGGTCGACTTCCCTCCCAGGTCGACCTGCTGCTTGTCCCGGCGGCCACACGCGATGCCCTTGGTCGGCGCCGGCGCCACAGGCGACGACCCACTGCTCCCCTCATCGCCGGAGGCCGACGGCGGAGTCAGCCCACGCAGGTCGACGAGGGGAGGGGCAGGGGGGGTAGAGGAAGGGTGGACGACCTCGGCGTCGTCCTCAGCAAGCTCACCGACCTCAGCGAGCAGAGGGAGCGTTGCCGTCGAGGTATCCGTCGGCGTGGCCATCAGTGTCCGCCCTGACACGGGGCCATGCGCCGACCTCCACTCCTCCAGCGACAGGTCCTCGTAGAACACCACGTCCGACGTGGTGACCACCCGGTTGTCGGCGATGTCGAGGAGCTCCCAGCCCTTGCTCGCCTCCGACACGCCGAGATGAAGGCCCCACTTGGCCTTCGGCTTCAGCTTGCCACCCCGCTGCTGCTCGGGGACGAGGAACTGCGCCATGCAGCCCCACACGCGCGCCAGCGACAAGTCGGGCTTCGTCCCGGTCAGTAGCTGGTATGGCGTCGTCCCCGGCGTCGCCGACCGCTCGAGGCAGTTGCGGATCCAGACGGCCTGCCGCAGAGCGAGGTGCCACCAATGGTGCTGCACGCCCATGTGCAGCAGCATCGTCCTCACCGACTCCACCACCGTCCGCATCTCCCGCTCCGCCATGCCGTTCTGCTGCGGGGTGTACGGGCAGGTCAAGTCGTGGACGATCCCCTTTCCGTCCACGAAGTCGGTGAACGTCTTCCCGAGGAACTCCCCGCCTCGGTCCGAGCGCAGCATCAGCACCGACTTCTTCGTCTGCCGCTCCACCAGCACCAGCCACTTCTGGAACTCCAGCAGCACATCCGACTTCTTGGCGACCAGCCTCACCCACACGTAGCGGGACTGACGGTCCTTCAGCAGCAAGAAGTAGAGGCTGCCATCCTTGGCAGCCACCCGGAATGGCCCGCACAAGTCGATGTGAACGACGGCTAGCAGGTCGGCGGCGTCGGAGCCTTGGTCGGGGAAGGTGTGCCGCGCCAGCTTCCCGCCGACGCACGAGACACACGGTGGGTCGGCGCCCGTCGCCGACTTGAGGTCCAGCCCAATGGCGACCTCGTTCTTCGCTGAGCTCCTGATGGTGTCCATGCCGGCGTGCGCAAGCCGAGCATGCATCCTGGCCGGCGTCGACTTCGACTTGGAGACGATCGCCCGCAGGGCCACAACCTCCGGCGTGGGCGACGTCGACCTCGTTGTGCAGGGACGCAGGTCTGTGCAGAGGACTCGCCCGGAGTACGTCGCCCGACCAAGCACTTCTCCTGCTGCTGAGACAAGCAGCATCCCGTCGCCGTCCTCTTGAAACTTCACGCCATGCTCCTTCAGCTGACCAGACGACAACAAGTTTGCCCGCACACCCGGGACGTACAGCACGTCGGGAATGAGAACCTGCTTCCCGGCCTCGCCTTGCAGCGCAACCGTGCCCCGGCCCTGGACGTCTTGCAGCGCCCCATTGAAGCCACGCACGTGCTTCAAGTCGCCGCTCGGCCCCATGTCGACGAAGACGTCCTTGGTCCCCATCAGGTGGTGGGAGCAGCCGCTGTCCAGCAAGACCACCGCCGGGTTCGCCTGCACCGCTGCTGCCATCGCCTGGAAATCCTCTCCGGCCTCCGGCGCCAGTGAGACGGTCGGCTCCACGACGCCGACCAGGGAGCACGACGCCGACTTGTCGTTGCTCCCCTTGCCGCTAGCAGAGGAGTCGGCGTCCTTCGCCGAGGTCGACGACTTGGTCGACTGCTTCTCCTTGCGCGGCTGACTTCCTCCTCGACGAGGTCGACGACTGCCAGACCTCCCGCGGCCTCCCTTGTCGTCGTCGTCCGAGTTACTACGGTCGGGGCACTCGAAGAAGAGGTGGTCGGGGTCGCCGCACAGCCAGCACTCCCGACGTCGACTTCCTCCTCCTCGGCCGTTGTCCTTGGTCGACTTCTTCTTGTCGACCTCCTTGGCCGACTTCGAGCCACCGCTACCACTGCCACCGGACTGTCCGCGCTGCCCCGGTCGACTGCCTTGCTTCGCCGGGGCGACGTAGTTCACCTGCGCCAGGAGCTCTTGGGACCGCTCTGCCTTTGCATCGCCTCGTCCTGCAGGATGTACGAGGTTAGGTTGTCCTCGTTGAGCGTCGCCCTCGTGCTCGGCGCCATGGACAGCCGCTTCAACAGGTTGTAGCTGCTCCGGAGTCCCTGCATGACATGGGTGATGTACGACGCCGTCGAATACTCCGCACCGGCCATCCTGATGGTGGCGAGAATTCGCCGGGCCCGGTTGCAGTAGTCGGTCGCCGTCTCCTCGTCGCCCATGCGCAGGTGCGTCAGCTGCCCTTCAAGCTGGGCGATAAACAGGTCGTCGGTGACCTGGTACGTCGACTCGATGAAGTGCCACGCCTGGTGGCCAGCGTCGAGGTACTTCCGGCACCACTTCAGGGCGATCACGTCGACTCGATGAAGTGCCACGCCTGGTGGCCGGCGTCGAGGTACTCCCGGCACCACTTCAGGGCGATCTGCACGCCCGGCGTGCAGCACCGCGAGATGACCGTGAAGGTCAGCAGCTGCACGGCGCGAAACTCCGCACGCAAGTCGGGGTCGCTCGGCGTCGCCACGGTACCACGAGCAAAGTTGATGAGCCCGGCCATCTCCAGCTGGGGCTCAATAGCTTCCTTCCAGGTGAGAATGTCGGGTCGGCCGACCAGTAGGGGAGTCACCGAGATCCTATCCGGCGTAAACTTGAAGTAGCCGTAGCTCGGTGCAATCCCGCCTGCTGTCACCTGGGTTGCCGACATCGGCACGGACCCACTCCGTCGACCTCCGACGTCGCCCTGCGAGAACCCTGCAGCCGCCGACGACCGCATTCCTCGCGTCTGAACGCCGCCGACTTCGTCGGCGTGAATCACACCACGCTGCCTCGACGACGTGCCTCCCGCACTGCTGCCGACTTGGTCGCCTCCGGCGTTGACACCCGCGTCGACGTCGCCCTCGGTGTTCACCGGTCGAGGAGAAGCAGGCCGAGAAGGGTGCTCCGTCGCCCACAAGGAACGGATGCCAGCCTCAACGACCGCCCACGGCAGGTCGCCATACTCGTTGGCCTCGTGCTTCCTCCTCGCGTTCTCCAGCCGTGCCTCCAGGGTGTCCACCACCCCCGTGTCACCTACGGCCACTACCATAGTGACAATCGCACAGCTGCCGGCCTACGAACAACTTAGGTAAGGTGCAACTAAGTCGACTAGACTGAAAGGTAAGTCGTTGTGCCTTCCACGCTCACCGCACCATGCGGAGATAACTACTACAACGGGAGCTAGGCTGCGGGCTAGGCACGGGTGCTCGTGTGATCTCTGCGTTCCTCGGTCCTTAGTCGTTTTCCTAGTGCACACACTGCTTGCAAGTTCACAAGGCAATTTGGCAAGAGTTTCACTAGAGAAAGTTGACAACAATGATACAATGAAGTTGGCAAGGCAAGACTACATCAGAGCTAGCATGCAAGCAAGTCTATTGCCAGCGCAGCACGGTCGACCGCGTGCCAGCACGACTTGGTCGACCGCGCTCCAGCAGTGCAGAGACGCGGCTTGCCAACGCTGCAGGTCGACGGCGTGACAACAGCGCAAGTCGATGGCGTGCCAGCGTTGCTCCCGCAGGACAGCAGCGCACCTACTTCGCAGGTGCTCGCAGATGATTGGCGTGCAGTGCCTCGTCACCTGCACAGCGCACACACCACATCAACTTCGTGCTGACGACTGCTTCTGATGCACCACATTGACCTCGGGATACCATCACCGAGGTCGTCCTCGCCAAAACCACCTGGGCGACCTTCGCAAGCCTTCGCAGCACCTCGTCACCCAGGTAACTTGGTCGACCGGGCAACCAGGTCGACCAGAGGCTCCAGTGCGTGCCCGTCGACCACCCAGGTCGACGACCACTTCCGGTCGACCTCCCAAGGTCGACCACTGCCTCTGGTACGTGCCGGTCGACCTCCCAAGTCGACGGCCACCTCCAGTCGACCTCCCCAGGTCGACCACTATCCCCTGGTCGACCAGCTCCAAGTCGACGTCACTCCTGGTCGACCAGAGGGGCTGGTAGACTTCCCAGGTCGACCAGCCAAAGGTGGCGCCCTCCTGAAGTCGACCAGGTCGACCAGCCGGGGCCAACACCCAACTCCCGTTGACAATAACAGTTATGAAGGTGACTGGTGCAAAATGACGAAATCTAGTATATTTTTAGTGTACCTTCCTTTCATCAAGATGTTACATGGATTAAGATTTACCTGCATTTTCCCATCCAGGAGGATATTGGCAGGCTTGATGTCCCGATGCACAATGCCGAAGCTGTGCAGGTATTGCAACCCCTTGGCCACTCCAATCAGAATGTCCAGCCGTTGGAACAACGACAGAGGACGCACCGAACCTGGAGTGCGTAAGAGTTGACGGACGCTTATCAATACAGGCCACTCCGATAGGAGTAAGCAATCTTGCAGGTATACAAAGAACGATTGGTATGCGTTTCTTGTTTATGCTCAACGATTTGCCCAAGATTGGAAAGAGACGCACACTGCCATGGCCGGAGTGTTTGATCAAAGACTCCAACCTTTGAGAGATGCAGCTATGCTGGATGGAAAATTCAAGCAGTGTTCAAAAGTAAAGTGAAATAACCTGGTCCAATCCAGCTCTCTAGGTCCCGGTTCTCCATGTACTCATACACGAGTATCTGCTCCACGTGGCTTGTGCTGCGGTCGTACTGCACACAGTAGCCCAACAGGCGCACCAGGTTGGGGTGGTACTTGCTGGCCATGGCCTTTACCTGCAAAAAGGGAGGGAAAAATAAGGAAGAAAGAGACTCTCTTTATCTCTCTTCGTTGATTCAATTCCGCAGTGTGCAAGAGTGTAACAGCAACAGTAACAGTGTTACTCAAGAACTTCTGTACAACAACACTAGAGATCGCAACTGCTTCAGTAACTTACCTCCGTCTGGAAGTCATTCGATAGAATCCGGGCTCGCTTCACAGCCCAGAACTCATTAAGATCGTATGGTGACACGCCCTTGTACACATCTCCAAAGCTCCCGCTGCCAATCTTGTTCTCCTCCGCCCAATTTGCTGTTGCATTGGTCACTTCTCCTAGAGTGAACTTCTGGCACAGAAATGGCTTAGCTTCCTCTGGTTCCACTGCTGCCATTGGGTTGTTGTTGTTCCCATATGAGGCTCCTGCTCCTGCTGCTACAGCCGCCGCTGCTGCTGCTGCTGCTGCTGCTTCTGGGTCTACCTGGAGTGTTGTCTCAGGTAGAACTGTCGGTACAGTGAAGGTGTGTATGTTGGGAGGGTAGTGAATGCGGAGCAGGACAGTGCGGGAGAGTTGAAAAAGAGGAGGGAGAGTTAGAAATACTAGGATGGTGGGGAAGAAGGAGGAGAACTGGGAAACAAATCAGAAACCCGTTGATGCAAATAAGAAGTCTTCTTTATCAAAATATCTCCCACCTTCATGTCTTTCTTACCTTGTAGTCTGTCTTACCTTGCTGCGAGATATTTAGTGCTGTATTTACTCGAGCAGACTCAAAGGCGCTTCCCAGTGCCGTATCCTTTTGGAATGACTCAAAGGGACGTCCCAGTGACACATCTTTCTCCCCTATTTCCGCTTTGAAGCCTTGTGCCACTCCTGCTCCTGCTCCTGCTCCTGCTCTTGATCCTGCAACTGCTGCTCCTGCTGCTACCCCTTCTGCTGCTCCCACCATTCCTGCTGACTTTTTAGTGCGCCTCCGGCACAGAAGAAACAGCAACGCTCCCATCCCCAGCAGCAGCAGGAGGACGAGCATACCGCCAGCAGCAGCAATGCCAGCTGTAGCGCCTAATGACAGGCTCACACCAGACTCGGCCGGGTATTCTTCTGGGGGAATGGGGGTCGGTGGGGGCACTGTAGGGGGGGCAGGGGGGAGGGAAGAGAGGAAGGAAGAGTGAATGGGGGGGATGGGGGGAAGAAGGAAATGCTCAATGTGGTTCAAATTGAAATGGGTGGGGACGTGGAGGGAGGTTTCAATGCACTTCGAGCTCAGAAAGGGATGGGATGTTAAGCGGAGACATGGGCTAGACAGTGGATAAGAAAGGTAGACCTGGCATGATATTCCAATGGATCATCATTATGTTGGTTTAGGGAACGAAGTTGTATAGGAAACCAGGTCTCATAGAGTAGAATGGAAAGGAGAGTCATGACTCTCACATGGTGCACCCTGTGGTTTTGTGTCACCACGTGGTTCAGATTGTGGACCAATTCACGCGTGTAGCAGAACGAGGGGCACGTTTTGAGTTGATTGAGAACACACTTGATGGTGGTGCAGCAGATGGTGGGCCCATGTCACAGGTGAACCAGAAGGAAGGGAACGTTTTGTGTTTTTGAGACACCTCAAAAGTCGTTTTGAGTCAGTCCAAAGCACACCTGATGGTGGTGCGGTAGTGTTTGGGCCCATGTCACAGGTGGAGCAGAAGGAGGGGCACGCCTGGCAGAAAGCGGTTGAAGCTGTCTGTGTGATTACACAGCTGCTGTCGTCAGGCGGGCAGGTGACTGCTGTTTCATACATGTTCCTGTACGTGCATATAAAAGGGATGGCGTAGAAACTTTGATGTAGCGTTGTACACAGTGATTGATTTTAAGGATTGGCATTCGAAGGATCGGTTGAGGGAGCTGTTAGAATTGTGCCAACAATGGGGGTAATTTGCCTCAAAGGAGACTTGAAACTGTGTTTCTATAATGGCCTGTGCAAGATAAAGCAGAGGGGCGGAGTGGGCGATGGGGGAAAAGAGGGGATGGTGGAGATGGGGGTGAGGGAGGAGGGGAAGAGGGTGAAGGGGGAGGTGAGTGGGGGGGGGGGAGAGGGGTTTGATTGGAAGTTTGTGTTTGGAAGGGCATACAAGGTAGCAAGTCGGGTAAGGCGGCCGATTGTTGGAGGGAGGTAACCAGTGAGGTTGGTAAGGCTGATGTCACTGCAGTGAAGACAGGCGCGTGCACGCACACACACACACACACACACACACACACATGCACACACACACACACACACACACACACACATGCACGCACGCACGCACACACACACACACACACACACACGCACGCACGCACACACACACACACACACACACATGCATGCATACATGCATGTGCATACGCGAGATATGAGTTGGCTGAGTGAATCAAAGATTCTTTGAAAGAACGTAAAAAGAAGAAGAAACCCAGACACTGATAAGAAATTTGAGAACCTACAGTCTTGAGAGATTCACGAGCTTGCTAAATGAGTCGGGAATGCTTCCCGTAAGGCTGTTGTTGTGTAGCGATCTGTGTGGGCCAGAGAGAATCAAAGAAAAATGACCGTAACGTTGCACAAGACCAGATTATGTATAATGTGTGCGATATGTCTGTCAAAGGATAGTGAACTCAGAGCCTAGATTAAAATTCCCTGGATATGGCTTGAGGAGTTAACTCTTTGTCTCATATATGAAAGGTAACTGTCTGCAAGTAAGGAGTACTTTCGTGTATCATGAGTTTATGGAATTTCTAATGGATTCTGGAATGCACTGCGATATGAAGTTCGAATTTACACTTCTGAAACCATTAATAGCAATGACCCGCAACAAGGAAGAATAAGAACACAGAAGGGAAAGGAACCAGGACTTCTGCAGCAAAGAGGTGAGCATAATCAACCAAGTAGAAACACGAGCACTATGCGGTATAATTTATGAAAATAACCAAAAGAGCCCACCATCCAAGGCGGAAAAAGCAGAAAGTGAAGAGGGCTGTGCTGTCACTAACAAGTGAGTGAGGCTGGTCATGCTGCCGATGGTGGATGGAATAGACCCACTCAATGCATTTTGGCCAAGATCCCTGATGTTACATGCAGATGGTTCCCCAGGTAGATAGAATTAGAAAGAGGGCACGGAGAGAGTGAGGAAGGAATAGGGAAGGAGGTGATAAGAATGCCTCACATGGACATGGGATAGAAGCATAAGTTTTTCATCCCAGTAGCGAGCAGGAAACTGGCCACGCACTAAAATTGGGACCTGTCTTAGTTTCCACATAAGCTTAAGAACCGTATGTTTCCTTCTAGAGAGATAACAGCTGTGTTCAATCAGATCCCCTCTCTTTCTACAAAAACGTGGACTCACTGGTAGCGCAGATCAAGGAAAATGCCAAGGCTCGAGGGAATAGAGCCGGTGAGCTGGTTTCCATAGAGGTCCCTGGAGGGCGATTGTAGGGCAATTTTACGGGAATAGAGCCAGTGAGGTTGTTACTGTAAAATTGCCTATGGGGTTGCCGATCGTCGCAGGAATAGAGCCAGTGAGCGTGGCTGCTTGGCTTGTTGGATGTTATTTAGCCGCAGCGGAAGGTCCTTAACAGAGCCCACAGGCGTTACAACGGGAGTCTGTAGATCGGTTTTTTTCTGCTACCTATCCCCTCCTTCTCCTCTCCCCATTCCCCAGAGCAAGTTCTATTGGACTTTCAGCAGGCTTGGGGGCGGACGTTCGCTAGCTGGGGGCTTTCAGGCACTCGTACGAGCTGCAATAGCAGCGCTATATCCAATCTCACCTGCGACTCCCAAGGGATGATCACTGCAATGTGAGTGAGCCCTTAGGAGTGAATTATTGTGACTGAACACTACTTATTTGGGCTTGCAAGCAAGAACAGATTAGAAGTTTTCTGAGATGTCTCATCCGTCTTAGAAACTCAACTGGTTCATCCCAGTGGTACGTCATTGTGTCTGTGAATAATTATCTCCTAACGAGGATGACCCTTTGGCCTTTTTTGGTTTTTTGTTTGCTTGTTTGTTTGTTTGTTTATTTGTTTTTGTTTGTTTGTTTGTTTTGTTTTGTTTTGTTTTTTTTTTTTTTGGGTTGCGAAGCAACCCTTTACGATCGATTTTGCCAAATTTTATTTTCATGTTTATGTTTTTTAATCATGAAAATAAAACTTGTAAACTACAGTAATATCCTTCCCATATTGAATGCATGTTGTGGTGTTCTGAACACAGTACTGTTCATAGTGCATTAAACCATATGAGTATTTTGCAGTTGTTTAGTGCACATTTGCTGTACTGTTTACGTTATGTTTTATTGTTAGATGTTGTTGTGCATAAATATATGCATGCATAATGCATAGATGATGCTATACAATCTATAATGCTTAATGTAATATGTTATGAATAATGCACATGCACACGATAAAATGCGTGACAGTTAATAACCCAAAATCTAAGCTACCGCCATCCCCTGCCTAGCATGGGGGGGAGGTCAATAGCTTAATTTTTGAATAATCAACTACCACATGAAACAACGCAATCTGTAAAGTCTTAAAAAAAGGTCAACTCTATCAAATCCAGTTCGAAGTGGTCGCACACGAGTCACTGAGTGCGCCAATGAACCTTTTGTGAAATGATAGACCTGAGCCTTTTTTTAAGAAATCACAGACATGCATTGCTATTGCAATGGACAATTATACACACAGATACAAAAGCAAATACACACATAGATACATACGTATATACATACATACGTACATACATACATACTGGTACATACATATACACACACACACTTACAAACGCACACACCAAACATACTTACTCACACAAAGATAATCAGTCACGCAATCATTTGAAGTCGACAAATAAAACCATGATAAGAACAAAATCTATATGGCATTGTCTACTTTATCTCCCACCCATATTTCTTTAACTAAATTGTCTCAAAAGGACCCAGAAGTAAGGCGTGTGATTCGTAACCAACTTCAAGCGTTTCGATCTTCACCGTTGCTGCAAGAAATTAAATAATGAAACAACAAATCAATGGAACAACAATAGTAAGTTACATAATACCGACATTGTTTAACAAAGTAAAACACTAAGAGAATACTACCATTTCACGCACCTCAAACCTCCTCTTTGTCGGTGTGGACGTTGGTTGGGTGCTCGACGTATCAAAGTTGACAGTGTCGACATTTGACTTCGGGACGCTCGAGATGTCAACAATGGTCTTGTGGATGCGCCCCCCCTCAAGACCAAAATGAACTTGAAGGGGGAAAGAGTATTAATGATTACACAATACTGTATACATTGACATTGCCTAAATAAAAATAACGTCATACCTTTACGAGCCATCGGCCTTGAAGAGCATCTAGCAGGCTTTGGCGCTGATCCGAGGGCAAGGAAAGAAATGTAGACATCTGGAGCTGCGGGATTACTTTTGTCAAGATGCTTGGTTGAACCACCAAGCCGTGGGCATGGTTCTTGAATGACACTGAGATTTTTGAGCAAAACAACACAATATTAAATGCTTTGACAAAACGTCCAACACTGTACACAAAAACATACAAGTATAGTACTTACCGCTCTCGTGTACGACAAGTGTCACAGTGGTGTTATCGATCCGGGTGATCGATGCGGATCCATGCCTCGAGCACGAATGCTCGCGTGTACGACAAGATCTGTAAACAGTCAGTGGGCAGAAACCCCCCGGTCCACCCTTGCACACCGTGCGCGAGGTGTGCAAAGGATCCTTGATCTCAGCTACGAGAGACGCTATCTTCTCTTTCTTTGTTGTCATCACGACTGTGTCAACGTTGCTCATCCTGAA